CCCCAAAACGCATTGACTCAACATTACGCCCAACTTTGACAGATTATAGCGCCAAGTGTGAAATTCATAGAAATATGGGATTCACAGCATCTGTAGGGGGTTGCAGCCTAAGTGAGAACATACCCCGCAAGGGGGTATAAGTTGCACCCCTGGGGCTCTAGGACGTCCCAAAGTGCTCCCATTGACTTACATGGGCCCATTGACTCCCATTCATTTTCTAGACACTCGTAGATACTATTCCCGGAAATCGCCGTAGCGCCAACAGTGAATATCGTAGAGACATGGGATTCGCGACATCTCGAAAGGGTTATAGGAGGCTTCAAACCACACCCCGAAAGGCGGTAAATGTTGTACCCCTGGGGAGCTAGGACGTCCCAAAGTCTCCATTGACTTTACATGGAGCCGAACTTTGACGAATCACAGCGCCGAGTGTGAATTTCACAGAAATATGGGATTCACAACATCTGTAGGGGGTTGCAGCCTAAGTGAGAACATACCCTGAAAGGGGGTATAGGTTGTACCCCTGGGGTGGTAGGACGTCCCAAAAGGGTTCCCATTGACTTTACATTGCCCATTGACTCCCATTCATTACATTGACTCCCATTATAAATGTCATATGTCAATCAAAGTACAGCACTGTCATACAGACTTGGGGGTTGGCTTATTTGACTAGGGCAACCAATCAGCATCTCATTATGATTTTGAAGCTCACAGGCCACGCCCCCCCAAACCACTTAAAGACCCTTAATAAGTGCCCCATTGACTTAACATGGGGTGGGATGTCCCATTGCAGATCCCATTGACTTCCATTATAAAGGTCACACATCTATAACATTACATAGGAGTGTCATAGAGACATGGGGGTGGGCTCATCTGACTCAGACAACCAATCAGCATCTCAATATGATAATGAAGCTCACAAGCCACGCCCCCAAACTGGTCCCATAGACTGCCATTATAACTGCCCTACATGCATATCTTTGCTTAGCAGTGTCCTATTGGCTTGGGGGATGGCTCATCTGACTCAGACAACCAATGAGCATCTCAATATGATAATGAATCTCACAAGCCACGCCCCCAAACTGGTCCCATAGACTGCCATTATAACTGCCCGACATGCATATCTTTGCTTAGCAGTGTCCTATTAACTTGGGGTTTGGCTCATTTGACTTGGACAAACAACCACATTCAAGTTCACTCTACAACCTCGCCCATAGCAACAAAACAGAGTACCCTAGCAACCATTCATCAACAGCTATATCTCAGCATCGGAACATCGTAGAGACTTGGGGATTGGCTCATTTGACTCATGCTAGCAAACGGAACTTCCTTTATGCTACACATGCTAGCAGTGACTAGCTACATGCTAATATTGACTAGCCATGTACTGTAACTTGCTAGAAATGCTTACTAAGTATAAATATTTCATCAGGCAAGTATGTGAGGCTTGCCTAGTAACCACCCAGGGTACCCTAGCAACTGCCTAGCAACCACCCAAATTACCCTAGCAACCGCCTACCAACCACCTAGCAACCGCCTAGTAACGCCTTAGTAAGGGCCTAGCGACCACTCAGGACACCCTAGCAACGCCTTAGCAACCACTCAGAATACCCTAGCAACCACCTAGCAACACCTTAGCAACCACCTAGCAACCACTCAGGACACCCTAGCAACCGCCTAGCAACACCTTAGCAACCACCTAGCAACCACTTAGGACACCCTAGCAACCGCCTAGCAACGCCTTAGCAACCACTTAGAATACCCTAGCAACCATCTAGCAACACCTTAGCAACCACCTAGCAACCACTTAGGACACCTTAGCAACCGCCTAGCAACACCTTAGCAACCACATAGCAACCACTCAGAACACCCTAGCAACCACCTAGCAACCACCTAGCAACCACTCAGGACACCCTAGCAACCGCCTAGCAACACCTTAGCAACCACTCAGAATACCCTAGCAACCGCCTAGCAACACCTTAGCAACCACCTAGCAACCACTCAGAACACCTTAGCAACCGCCTAGCAACACCTTAGCAACCACCTAGCAACCACTCACAACACCCTAGCAACCGCCTAGCAACGCCTTAGGAACCACCTAGTACCACTTAGGACATCTTAGCAACCGCCTAGCAACACCTTAGCAACCACCTAGCAACCACTTAGGACACCTTAGCAACCGCCTAGCAACACCTTAGCAACCACCTAGCAACCACTCAGGGCACCCTAGCACTGTTGCTAGCATGATGTTAGCAACTCGATTAGCATGTTGCTAGCATGATGCTAACACGATTAGCATCATGCTAGCTACATGCTAATTATGTTAGCATGATGCTAGCAACTCGATTAGCATGTTGCTAGCATGATGCTAACACGATTAGCATCATGCTAGCTACATGCTAATCATGTTAGCATGATGCTAGCAACTCGATTAGCATGTTGTTAGCAAGATGCTAACACGATTAGCATCATGCTAGCTACATGCTAATCATGTTAGCATGATGCTAGCAACTCGATTAGCATGTTGCTAGCATGATGCTAACACGATTAGCATCATGCTAATTACATGCGAATCATGTTAGCATGATGCTAGCAACTCGATTAGCATGTTGCTAGCATGATGCTAACACTATTAGTATCATGCTAGCTACATGCTAATCATATTAGCATGTTGCTAGAACCTCGATTACCATGTTGTTGCTTTTTGGCCAGTACAGTGATGCATTTTTTACCCCATCGATTTGCCACGCAAACCCCATTCACATTTCCTTTAGGAAATGTACAATTCTAGTTATTATTATTATTAGTAGTAGTAGTAGTAGTAGTAGTAGTATTAGTATTATTAATTGGTATTAATAATGTTGTTGTTGTTGTTGTTCTTCTTCTTCTTCTTCTTCTTCTTCTTCTTCTTCTTCTTCTTCTTCTTCTTCTTCTTCTTCTTCTTCTTCTTCTTCTTCTTCTTCTTCTTGTTGTTGTTGTTGTTGTTGTTGTTGTTGTTGTTGTTGTTGTTGTTGTTGTTGTTGTTGTTGTCGTCGTTATTAGTATTATTAATATTATTATTATTATTATTATTATTGTTGTTGTTGTTGTTGTCGTCGTTATTAGTATTATTAATAATATTATTATTATTATTATTATTATTTGCTTCTTTGGATCTGGGGATTTTGCTTGTAAAATTGTAAACCTTCCAAACACTGTATTCATCTCTTTTGAAATCCGAAACAACACAAACACCACAACATGTCTGAGCCCTACTGCATTTTGTTTTCTATGTCATGACAGTGATATTGAAATAGTTCTTGAATCGCTCAATGTGGCTTGTTTGAAGGCACAGCCAGAAAGAAACATCACGATCGCTAAGCTTCAAAATGCCATCCAGTCAATCGAACAAACCTCCACGTGGGCTTTGTGTGTCTGCAGAGAATTACCAGGTGTTTGTCCCAGAGTCAGCGCAGGTGGGGAAACCAGTGGGGAAGATCAAAGCCAACGACGAGGACATCGGAATCAATGCAGAGATCAAATACAGCATCCTGAACCCCGAGGGGGCCGCCGTTTTCTCCATCTCCACAGACAAAGACACCAGAGAGGGAGTAATCACACTCAGAAAGGTATTGCTTATTTATCTTTCTTTTTCTTTGTGGTGATTGCAAGTATATCTCCTATTATTGCTTGTACTAGTGCAGTGTTTCTCAACCACATTCCTGGAGCACAACCAGCTCAGCACATTTCCATGTCTCCTTAACCAAACACAACTGATTCAGATCATCAGCTCATTAGCAGAGTCTGAAAGACCTGTAACGGGTGTGACAGACAAAGGAGATATCCAAAACATGTAGTGTTGGTGGACCTCCAGGAATGTGATTGAGAAACACTGTACTAGGGTTAGTGTACATTTTTGAATATTTGATCATTAGCTACAGTATGTTTCCATACAAAGATGTGAATTAAGCTTATGAGTAAAACTGGAATATCACGGCGGTTCTCAACATTTTTACACTAAGTAAAAAAAATCTGAAATGTCTCTCTCTCTGCTGAAAAAAGGTTCCTGACCGCTGCTATACAGGGTAAACAAGACTCAGCAAAGTGTATGTAAAAGTGAGCAGTATATGGTTCATGTAATCGGTGTCAGTGTCCCGATTATTGTCAGCAGTGGCAGTAGTTGATGAGTGCAAAGAGTTCTAGGAGTTGTAGTTTGGTTCAGTGGCAGAATTGTAGTTCTCCAGTGATCTAAAACTGCTCAATCGCTGGGGATCATAAAATTAAACATGGTAAATACAATTTGTACATTAACACTGCACTTTTCTTACAGGTAAAAAAAAAAAACAACAAAAAAAAACAACAACAACAACAACTTAAAACAATAGAATAGTTTTTTTTTTTTTTTTAAGTAAGTAACTATGACTAATTTCATAGTTTAGGGGTTACATTTTATGTTAGAATATAATTTTGTATGCTGTATATAATAATTTCAATAAATTAAATTACATTATAATATTATTATACATTATGATATTATATTAGTATAACATCTATAATATTATAACATATGAAATAGTATTATTACTATTAATAATAATAACCGTAATAATAATAATAATAATAATAATTGTTTTTAATTATTTATTCATTTTCCATTTATATGAAACATTAACATAGGAAGGTGTGGGATGAGGGTAAACAATAAAGTCTGCACAAAGTTATCTAATCAAAAAATACTACAAAATCACAAATATATTAAATAATTTTTCAGGGCAGTTTGTCTGTGACCTTCATAAAAGTTTTATCTGTTCATATATCTGGAATCTGTTAGTTCTTAATACAATTGACCCTTGGGAAATAAAAGGCCTTGTATTGGAAATACTCCACTATTAAACTTTAGGTTTTAACTTTGTCATTTTGTTCAACATATATGAATGATGTCTCAATTGTCGGTACTTATTGAAGAGAAGTGTGCTATTCCTGTAGTTTCCCAAGTAATAAAATGCAGACCAAGAATGAAAAAAACTTGCTTTCAGAGACATATCTTAGAGAGCAAAAACCCATAGTTCACATTACTATTGTACTAAATGTCTCAGACGGCTTATAAACACTTGATTTTGACTTTAAAAGCCATGTAAAATATGAGAAACCAAGCTGAAAAATGCAAATGCGTAGAGGAAAACACTGCATTCATGCCTAAAACCTCATTAGCAAATGACCTCGGGATTGTAATAAGGGCTTTCAGTGTTTCACACTTTTCATTCCAGTGTTTCTTGCTGACAAAAGAACAAAAGGATGGCATAATTATCCCAGGCATGTTGTTGTCAAAATAGCACAATATCATCTGGCAGATATACGCTGGCCTTCACTAATATTGGCACCCTTGGTAAATATGAGCAAAGAAGGCTGTGGAAAAAATGTTTTTGTTGTTTAACCTTTTGATATTTTGCTCAAAATCTGAACAAATAAACTGAGTCTGTGTTTATATCAGAGTAGAGGCTGTTTATTTGTAGTCATGTTCACTGAAAAAAAAGGTGATACGTTGCATTTACTAGACTTTTTAGGGTGAGTGGATGCAAACTATTTCTATAGACTGATTTTAAGCAAACAAATCAAGTTGAACCAAGGTTATAATAGTTTGGGATTTTTCATTAGTTTAAGTTTTTATTTCGTTTTGCCTTTTTGTTTTCAAATCCAGTTCATTTTAATTCATTTTTGGAAGCAGATTTGCTAGTTTTTATTAGTTTCTATAATTTGAAATTGCTTCGTTTAGTTTTTGTTTTTTTATGTAAGGATATTTTAGGTGCAAGATTAAAAATCCACAGAATAAATATTGTATAAAAAACTCAACCATACATTTTTTGAAATATGTATTCAGAAGGCACATTAACACTCCCATCTACCACTAGCAAAATGCCAACAGCCCACAAGATAGCAGCCTTAAGTACGATGTGTGTGCAAGGCTGCTTCTGAGGTTAAATGCACAGTAGTGATCGGAAGTTCAGATCTTTAACATGAATCAGATCTTTTGTGACATCAGGACCACGTTAGGACTAGGCATGGGGCGGTATAAGATTCTGACTGTATGATAACCTTGGATAAAACTATCCAAACACAGTTTCACTGTGTCTCGGTATTGTCATGGGTCAGCACCCGGAAAAACCCACGCCTATACAGAGAGAGCATTCAAACTCCACAAAGATATGTCAACTGACTCATCTAGGACTAACAACCTTCTAGCTGTGAGGCAACAGTGCTTACCACTGAGCCATCGTGACGCCCCCATTTAAGATTTTCATATAAAAAATTAACTTAAAATCTAGGAATCATGTTTTAACTTGATCATGTTTAAACTTGTTGAATAAAATAGGGATATTCTTTGTAACATAAAATATGAATTTTGTTCACTGGAGATAAAAGTTAATAAAACCAGTGAGATGGTCATTAGTAGGAATTAATTAAACTAGTTTTTTTTTTTTTTTTTTTTTTTTGAAGGGTTAAAACTTCTACTGAATTGACATCAAATAGAGACTGTTGAAAGTTTTTTTTTTTTAACTCTAGTGTTTAATATCTACTTGTAAGTGTAGATTTTTTTTTTAAAGTAATGCTTATTGGGGAGTTAAGGTAAATGACTTTGGTTTAAATTGACATATTTTGGAGATTATATACAGTGTGAAGTATATTTTGTACTGTGTGGTATGGATTATTGCCAGATAAAGAAAGCAAAAACTTTAAGTAGTTAAAGTTTGCTAGTGCGCTTATAGAAAAGGGGCAGCGCAGTGAGTAGTGTGATCGCCTCACACCAAGAAGGTCAGTGGTTTGAGCCTCGGCTGGGTCAGCTGGAATTTTTGTGTGGAGTCTGCATTTTCTTCCTGTGTTGGTGTGGGTTTGCTCTGGTTTCCCCCACAAGTGCAAAGACGTCAGTAGAGGTGAGATGAATATGATAAATTGTCTGTAGTGTATGTGTGTGAATGCAATGGGTGTTTCCTGTTATTTGGTTGCAGCTGGAAGGGCATCTGCTGTGTAAAACATAGGCTGGATAAGTTGGTGGTTAGTTCCACTGTGGAGACCACTGATTAATAAAGGAATAAAGAAACTAAGCCGAAAAGAAAATGAATGAACTAATGACTTATAGTACAGTATACCCACAAAAAAACACTACCTGAAAAAAGTTTTGTCGTCGATCCCACATGTAAGAACAACTAATAATAACTTGACTTCTAGTAGATCATTCGGAAAAATGGCAGAAGGTCAATTTTTCCAATGAAATATCTGTTGAACTGCATCTCAGTCATCACTAATACTGCAGAAGAACTACTGGAAGCCACATAGACCCAAGATTCTCACAGAAATCAGACAAATTTAGTGAAGGAAAACTCATGGTTTGGGGTTACATTCAGTATGGAGGCTTGTAAGAGATCAATCAAGACATTTGTGCTGCCCATTACATAAAAAACAACACAGGACAGTTCTTCAGCAGGATAGTGCTCCTTCTCATACTTCAGCCTCCACATCAAAGTTCCTGAAAGCAAAGAAGGTCAATGTGCTCCAGGATTGGCCAGCCCAGTCACCAGACATGAACATTATCTGGGAGAAGATGGAGGCAATAAAGATGACTCCAAAGAATCTTGATGAACTCTGGGAGTCCTGCATGAACACTTTCTTTGCCATGCCAGATGACTTTATTAATAAGTTATTGGAGTCATTGCAGCGATGTATGGATGCAGTCCTCCAAGCTCATGGGAGTCATACACAATATTAATTCTTTTTCCATTGCACCATGACTTTATATTCTATACTGGACATTATTTCTGTAAAGTGACAAGACTGTTTTCTAAGCAAAGTCACACCTTACTGCCCTGAGTAAACAATTAAAAATCAAGACATGATTAATTAAAATAATCTGGAGGCCTTTGCCTTTCATATAATCCACTTCTGATATGAAATAATCAACTAGAATTCAAGCTATTATTTGTTGTTTATAAAACTTGGATAGGCAACAAGACTTTTTTCAGATGATGTATTCTGAGTAAAAAATGAAAAGAATGACCAAAGAAGTTTTATTCACAGCCTTTTTGCTCATATTTAGGGCAGTGTATATAATCTGTTCAGCAGACGTCTGGTGCTCTTGAGGGCTCAGATGCTCTTTATTGGACTCTTTTCTGAATCCTGAACCTCTTCAATTCCACACTCAGTCCTACGGGTCAGGAAAGCTGCAAATGCGGAGTTTTCCTAAAGCCGGTCTTGTAAATAAATGGCTGCCAGATCTGTCCGACGAGACGTTGCTGAAGGTCAGGCAGGTTTCATGGTGTTTACAGACATGACCCCATCTAGACAGCCATTTAGCTTCTGCAAAAAAAATAAATAAAGTCAGAGACTGACCTCAATATAAACTTTTTGGAGTGTACAAAGCTACTAAAAGTCACCAAGAAAGTGTCTAAAATAGACTGACTGAAAGCATAATGTTGTGTGCTGCATATCCAGTAAAGATTGCTTTTTTTTCAGCCATTAAATTAGGTTTATTTTAGTGAATGACTTTACATGATCCATCTGGAGAATGCTTTCAGATTTTAGAGGGATTTACCAATTTTTTTTTTTTGTATTAATTGTATTTTGTGATTCCATCTGGAGAGAGATTTTACTCTGTAGAGTGATTTAATTATTTCCTTTATTACTAATTACTACTACTTTATTCCTTTAAACGTCACTTTAAGCTGTATAGAAGTGTGTTGAAAAATATTTAGTGTAGTAAAATATTATTCACTGTCGTCATGACAAAGATAAAATCAATCAGTTATTAGACATGACTTATTAAAACTATTATGAAATGTTGAAAAAATCTCACCGTTAAACAGAAATTTGGGAAAAAATAAACAAGATTGCTGATAATTCAGAGGGGCTAATAATTCTGACTTCAACAGTATTTTTATTATATATATATATTTATTTATAAGATATATATATAAATATATATTTATTAATAAGAGTGAAAAGTTTAACAGTCTGTATTTTTTATGTAGTTTTTAATTTAATTTAATTACATTTTTTGTTGTTTTGTTTTATTTTATTTTATTTAAAAAAAATTCAATTTCAGCTGTCTGGCGTTATTTTTTAATTATGTATTTATGTATTTATTTATTTTTATTTATTTTTATTAACAAGTATATTTTGTTAAAAAACTGAATATTTTAACTGCCTGGGGTTATTTTTATTTATTTATTTATTTATTTATTTATTTATTCATTCATTTATTCATTCATTCGATTATTAACAATAGTGAAAAGTTTAATGGTCTGTAATTTTATTTTATTTAACTTTATTTTATTTGAATTCAGTTTTATTTTATTTTATTTTATTTTATTTTATTTTATTTTATTTAAAAAAAAAACTGACTTTTAACTGCCTGGGCTTATTATGCGACTAGGCAACATTTAATACGGTGATCTCAAACTCGATATCTGGAGGGCTGCTGCTCTGCACAGTTTTGCTCCAACCCTGGTCTAACACAACTGATCCAACTAATCAAGGTGTTCAAGACTACTACAGACTATTTAGCAGGTCTACTGTTGCAGCCCTCCGGGAATTGAGTTTGAGACAATTTATTAAATAGCTATACTGTAGAACTTGTTGCATCACTTGAGTCATCATGAAAACAGGTTTTAAATATACATTAAAGGTCCCGTGAATTGCTTTAAAATGTGCATTTCTATTCAATGTTTGACAATCTCAACTGAAACATATAGAGACATAGAGTAGCTCCTCCCCTTATATAGCCAATAGGGTTTTGTTTTATCACAGCTTTGCCAGTAAGAGTGATCGAGCTCAAGTGCAGCAAATGAAAAGTCTACTTAAGGGGGTTGAGCATGTCAAAAACTAGAAAGCATATGATTGGTTATGATGTGAAGAGAAATGTGAATAAAGCCACTGGTCCTTTTGGCTGGAAGTGAAAAACTATAAGCTTTACATGTTTATATTAGTTTAATATCCTCTAAATGCGAATTGTGTCACTGTTCGGGGCACACTAGCTTACAGACATCCCAGAAACAATACTAATATTGATACTATCATCTAAAAAACTTTATTTCATGGGAGCTTTAATATTATTTGAATTTACATTTCACCTAAGTCCTATAGTAATATTTGAAATGTGATTCTGTGTCCTGTTTTCTCTTCTCAGCCATTGAATTATGAGAAGAAGAAGCAGTACAGTCTCCACATCTCAGCAGAAAACACACACGTGGACCCGCGCTATTCTTATCTGGGCTCCTTCAAAGATGACGCCACACTCAAGATCACAGTGGGAGACGTGGACGAGCCGCCGCTTTTCTCCATGGATTATTACATTATGGAGGTGTACGAAAATGCTAGAGTGGGCACTGAAGTGGGAGCCGTTACAGCCAGAGACCCTGACAGCAAAAACAGCCCCGTCAGGTGAGCAGAAGCTCTAATCACACCAATATTTCACGCACCAGCAGATCAGACTGCCATATAGGAGTTTGTATAGCTTTGATTTATTTTGTGGATTAGATGATTATTACAATGATGAATACGTATTAATTTGTGCATGTTAAATGTTTATTTATTTGTTTATTTTATTTTACTTATTTTATTTTTTTGTTCATTTTTTTGTTATTAGTATACTTTTAAATTCAATTTATTCTATTTTGGCTTTGTACTTCACTACATTTTTATTTAACTTAACTTTATTAAACTTTATTAAAATATTTTAACATATTCATACATTGATATTGTGTATTGAAGTATGTTAAATGCTATTATTTAGTAATTTATTTTCTATTTAGTTTTTTAGTGTACATACTATTGCAAAAGAAAATAGAAAATTAACAATATAATAACAATATTAATCTTAAATATACTATTATATTTATCGTAAATATACTAATGTAAATTTTATTTTATTTTATTATTTTATTTTATTTTATTTTATTTTATTTTATTTTATTTTATTTGTGTAATGTGTGTGTATAAATATAGCACATTTATCGTGTACTCCACTCTCTCCACACTAAAATCTATTATTAATTATTTAATAATTTTTTATTTTATTCTATTGTTAATTTTATTGTTTATTTTATTTTTATTTAACATGATTTAATTTTATTTTTATTAATTTCTTTATTAATTTTATGATAATTCATTGTATAATTCTTATTTTATTTTGTTTTATAATTTTTTTATATATTTTTCTATATATTAAATATTAAACCTGTCAGTATGTGTCTTTTTTCATAAATCACTGGAACTTTTTTTATTTGACTTTAAAGCATGATATACCATTGTAGTTTATTGTTATGATTTAATGATATAATATACTGCTTTTTTGTCGTTGTATTTATTTTTCATTCGTTCATTCATCCATCCATTCATCTATGCATCTATTTATTCTCTACTAAAAAATATAGTTTTAAAGTTAATAATCTTTAATATTTAATTGTTGAAAATGCTATTCTATTAATATTTGTGAAATAGTATACACTATTGCCTATTGTGTACACTATTTATTAACAATATATATAAAAATATATTAATGACGAGGACCGAGAAGTCGTTAATGACATTAACATCCGTCATTAACTATATATGGTTTGCCTGGCCTAGATTGCAAGGCCGGGATTGTGTGTCCTGCACTGTAAAACCCAACATTCAACTTTATCAAATGAAATGAGTATAGTTAACTCATAATTTAATGAAAATTGAACTCACTGTTGAAGGTAATGAGTACATTAAATACCTCATTATTTCAACTTAAATAGAGTAAGTTCACTGTATAGATTAGTTTTTTGTTTTTTTAACTCAAATGGTTTGTCGCAATTGGTTTGCCTTAACTTATTTGGTTTGACAGTACTCAGTTGGTTTGAGTTCTCTTCATTTATTGGGTTTTACTGTGCTGAAATTGCTTCGTTTACTTAAAAAAAGTTCACAGCACTCATTAGGAGTAGTTTTTGAACTTAAATGGTTTGTTGTAATCGGTGTCCTCAAATGGTTTGAGTTACCTTAACTTATTGGGTTTTACAGTGTGAAGCGTGTGTGGGTCTGCAGCTGAATATTATTGGTTAAATTGCCACGCAACATATTATTTGAAAAAATAAAAATAAAAAAAACTATTTTCATTTATCATTACATTTACATATTAACATTTCTTGACTAAAAAAGCTAAAAGTTTGAGTAAATCTGTTTAATTTAGTAGCAAAACAATCTTATGTTTCTCGCTGTGTGTCTCTCATGCCCTCTCATTTCTCACATTTCTCTATAAAGGTCACATTTAATAGGATGACATTGAGTTGATATGACATACAAGCATCTTTCACTGCTCTCTCTCTCTCTCTCTCTCTCTCTCTCTCTCTCTCTCTCTCTCTCTCTCTCTTTCTCTCTTTCTATCTCTCTCTCTCTGCATTTCTCTATGGAGGATATTGTTAATTAGAGCAGTTAAAGCAGCCCATGTTAGCATGTTAGTGAAACACTGCTGCCAAAGGCTCAATTACCTCCACACACTTTAATGAAGGAGAGGTGTTTGCAGGCCAGCTCATAAAAACACCATCGCTTTAGCACTAATGTCATGCTGCCTGCTGAGAGAGAGAAGTAGACCATTCAGATTACCCACAATTCCTGTTTCATCAGACCTGCTAAACAAATGATCAATATCTAGCGCACGGCATAAACCATGCGTGATATACTAGCACATTAAAGTATTGCAATTATTCTGTGATTAATTCTGTTTAATGCAATGTTTTGTCATGTTTAAAAAATGACATATTTTTCATATTTATTTACAGGACAATAAATAAATTTGTTCATGTATTTATTTATTTATTACTGTAAAATTTAGATTTTCTTATATATATTTTCTATATATATATATATATATATATATATATATATATATATATATATATAAAAAAAATATATATATATCTATCTCACACACATATATATATATATATATATATATATATATATATATATACACATA